GCTCCAACCCATCGCAGGTGCGTGCAGCCTGGGTGTGTCTTGTCTCCCACAGTCAGTCACTGGGCACCCACCCCTGCTGCTAAAGGTTCGAGGCTGTGGGCCCAGCGGGGGGAGCCATGGCCATCCCAGTGTTTTGTACACCAGGGTCAGGACAAGTTCCTTTCCTCTGCTGTGGCCCCTCAGCCCTGCCCCTGATGTGACACTGCCCTTAGGACACTGCCTGCCTCCTGCGGAGGGTGGACATCGGACCATGCCGTGGGGGGAGGTGCCATGCGCTGAGAAAGCACTTGTGGCAGCACTGGTGTCCTGTGTACGGTGTGCACAGTTCACTGCTGTCTTCCTGCACTGGCGCATCTCTGCCACGCCGGCCTTCAACATTGGCGTCAGCTAGTCAGCTACGTGTTGTTCATTCATTTGAAACAGTTTTATTTTGAAACTTCACCCTAGGACACCCCCCCTCCCCCAAGACTGTGAAGGAGGAAGGACCTAGTTGTTCCTTTGCCCCAGTCTCCCACCTCTGCAGACAGAGCTGCGGCCTCATCCTTTCTGCTTCAGGGGTCCCCCAAACTTCCAGCAAGCCAGCCAGCCCTTCCCTAAGGTGGGATGCGCTGGTTTGGAATGTGGGCCTGGGTGGGTGTGAACGCACAGGTTGGGGCTGCTTCACTGAGGAACAGGTTGACCTGCAAATGCTTCTGGACAAGTGGGTTCAGAGGGGGAGACAGGCCCACTGGCCACTGTGCTCTGGTGTGATACATCTTAGGGGGAGTCTGATCAGGTACTTATGGGTCTGATAAGGTCTATTGAATGGGTGGGGGGGCTCTGATCAGGACCATTGGAGGGGTGGGGGTGGTCGTGTATACTGGAGAGGGTCTATGACAGCTTTCCTTTCAACTTGGCGACCACGCGGTAGGGCCTCCCCTCCAAGTGACCTAACAATGTTGTAGAAAGCAGTTGTGGAGAGATTAGGGTAGAGTGACTGCTTTTTCGGGTCACAGCCCATTGATGTCTCCTGGGGGGTGGCCTGCACCACATATAGAAGTAGATACTGTGGAGAATGCTCATCTTCCTGCCGGCCTGGATCCTGCATCTGCATTCTTGGGACTGGGGCTGGTGGCCTGCCATGTTGTTTGCCAACCCTGGGAGCTGTTGGCAGCCGTCACCTTGCCTGCTGACACTATTTAGACTGGACTCTGCCTCCATTAACCTGTGGTCTTCCCACCTCCTGGTTCATCAGTACCCTGTCGGGAAGAGCCTCCCCCTTAGCCTCTCACCATGGGACTGGAGCTGGGCTGGCTCACCCGCCTTCTGACTGTGAACTGCTCTTTTGATATAAACCTCTTAGGTGTCCCTGCTTTTGCTTCTCTAGAGAGCCCCACCTAACAGGGTTTCATCAATACTGTCTCAGGTTGGGGTGGGGGTGTGTTTGATCAGGTATACCTTGTGGAAGAGTACGATCGAGATCATCTGGTGGCAGGGTTGGGGGGCTCTGTTCATGTACAATTATTTGTAGGGTGTGGCTGATCTGTTACACCACAGTGTGTGGGAGGGGTGTGCCGATCGAGGACATCTTGGGGAACCCTGATCAAGTATACATCAGTGGAGGGGATCTGGTCAGGTACACCTCAGTGGGGGCTGATCAGGTACACCTCAGTGAAGAGGTCTGATGAGCTGCACCTAGGGGTGCTGATCAGGCATACCTCATTAGGTGGGGTGTCTTTCTGATCAGGGTGCCACCTCCCCCCGAGCTATGGCCCCTCCCTTATGAAAGACTCCACGATTCCTCTGCAAGAAACCCTTTTGTGATGGGAAGCCTGATTCTCCGCTCTGCCCAGTGGGTGTCCCTGACCTGGGGGGGAGGGGTGTCTGCACCTCCTCCAGCCCCTCCAAGAAGGGAGGGGTGGCACACAGCTGACTTGAACACCTCCCTCTCAGACTTGCCACCAGCCTGAAATGACTTGCCAGCTCCAGCCAGGCCCCCGACTGGCCTATTTTCATACCATGTTTATGCAGACCTGGTCAACAGGAACTGTAGCCCCCAAAGTCCGAGAAGGGATGATGGGTGGGGACTCTGGGGCCAGGTCAGAGGGACACGCCCATATCTCTGGCCAACCACAGATCCCTCCACACTCGGCTCCAAGGCCTTTTGCGTTGTGGACCACAACAGTGTTCTGAAGGTGCCCATGTCCTCACCCAGCTGCTCAAAGCTCGCCAGCTTCTCAGAACCAAGGCCCTGGGCTTTGTGGGGCCCCTGGGGCCCAGCCCCACTTAGCTTGTTGGTGCCTCAGATGTTTGCCCTTCTACCTGGGCCAGGGGTGGGCATTGCCTGCCCTTCCACCCCTCTCCTTGTCCCCAGTATAACCTGAGTGTTGATGGCCTAGAGACCCATGACCCTGGCACCCAGGACATGCTTCATAGCAGCTGGCCAGTGTCTTCCTAGTGGCCAGAAGAGCCACCGCGTGTGTGCGTGCACACATATACACACCCAACATGTTGGCCTTTGGGGCAGGGGCTCCCCATGGGTGAGTTCTCAAATCACAAACAAATGCATCCAAATAGCCTGGAAAACAGTTTTTAATGGCATCGATCCAGAAAGCGCTGCAGGAGCCTGGTGTAACCCCGTCCCAACAGCACACAGGGAGGGGCATCTTAAGGCACTTGGGGTTGGGATGACACAGTATACTGGGACTGCAGTCACCAAACCAACTGGCCGCCGGCTCCCCTGTGGCATTTCCAGGGGCAGTGGGTGAAGCTCAACCCCAGGCTTCCTTCTGCAACAGAACCCCGGTCGCAGCTGGACACAGCCCCGTGGGCACGGTGACAACATGTGCACCAGCAATTTCTCCAACGCATGCACTTTATAGGGACGACCACACAGTCGGCCACAGTTCAGTATTAAATAAATAGGAAATCTTTCCGAGTCAAACTCTTACAACAGTTTTCCTAAGGAAATACATTCACGTTTTACATTGTTTCACGATGACAAAATGGCGCACACGCCCTCAGGGATGACGTGTGCCTGCAGCCCTAGACAGGCAAGGGCAGGAGCAGGTAGGTGGCCCTTACGGGTGGGGTGGGGGCAGAGAGAAAGAACAGCCCACACCTGCAAAGGGAGATCTCCACGCCTGAAACCTCGGGCCCGTGAACCTGCTTAACCAGTGCAGTTCACAGAAGCACAGAGCCCCCTGGAAACTAGGCCGGAAGTCAAGGAGGCTTTGTTAAGCAGATTAGCAGGTGTGCTTTGCACCTTCCCTTGGGCTTTGCCCAGGACTCGGCCTCCTGCAGGTACTGGGGCAGGCCTCCAGTCAGGGCCAACTGAAGATGCCTGCCCAGCTCTCGCTCTGCTCTGGGCTCCTGGGAGGCACTTGGAAAGGTGGTCTCGCTCCTTCTGGCCACCGAGACTTCCCTGCACAACAGATGCGGCAACTGGGTAGCCCCCCAGGGGCAGTGGGACCCCTGAGGCCATGACTCAGCTTGTTCTAAACGGATCCTTTTTTCACAGTGAGGGCAGAGACAGCCGGCCCATCAGTGCAGCTCCCTGGCCAGGGCTGGCGATGGCAGAGGTGAGTCCGAGGTGGTTTTGTAGCAGAGCCAGGGGCTGAGTTTTGTGCCGAGTCGATTTACAAGGTCGGAAAGCCTACAGAGCACCCCCTGGCGGCCACACGCCGCCGCCCTCCACCGGTAAGGGCCAAGCCAGAGATTGATAAAAGGAGAACCAGCCCAGCGAGAGTGAGTGAGCGGACTCGGGGCCACAGCTAGTTCTCCAGGCGCCCCTTTCCTTCTGCGGTAAAGCGACGGGCAGAAAGTTGTGGACCGCGTGGATCCAGGACTCAACGTGCAGCCAGGACACAAGGCAAGGAGCTAAAACACGCGCATCACCTGTGGCTGCTTTGGGAACCTGAAATGTCACAAATTGATCAGAAGACGAGGAACTTGAATGTTTCCTGAGCAAAGAGCAGAGTCTGGTTTGCTTGGGAAAAGCTCGAAGGCGGCCTTGCAGTCAGCGCCCCTCACTCCTGCAGGGGTGCCTCAGAGGCAGACCTGACTGCAGGACGGCAGGTGGCCCGTGGTCACTGCGCCGCCGCCTTCAGCACCAGGGGGGCAGGGGCCTCTTCTGGCCTTGAGCTCCCTGGAGCGCCTCTCCTCTGAGGACATGTCCCTGAGACTTGGTGGGGTTGGGTGGCGACTGGGTGATGGCGTCCGGAGACGGGAGTGGGGGGGTCTCAGCCAACATCCCTTCTGCAGGGTCTGGGCCCTAGAGAC